ATAAAAATGCCCACTCATACCACTTCCAGTCAATATAGTACAGGAAGTCCTAGCCTACACAGGTAAAAAGGAAGAAGAAATAAAAGCCATCCAAATTGGAAAGAAAGAAGAAAAATCATCTGCTTATATATAGAAAATGTTGAAGATTCCACCAAAAAACTATAGAAGTAATAAGCAAATTGATTAAAGCTTCAGGATACAAAGAATTAACATCCCAAAAAATAAGTTGTGTTTCTATAAACCAACAGTGAATGATCCAAAAAGAAAATTAAGAAAACAATCCCATTTACAATAGCACCAAACAATGAAATAAACAGAAATAAACCTAACCAGCCAGGCATGGTGGTACATGTCTGTAATCCCAGAAACTCAGGAGGTTGAGGCAGGAGAATTACAATTGAAGCCAGCCTCAGCAACTTAGCAAGATCCTTTATCAAAATGAAAAATGAAAATGTTAGGGATATAGCTCAATGGTACAGTGCCTCTTGGTTCAATCCCAGGGAAAGAAGGAAGGAAGGAAGGAAGGGTGGGAAGGAGAGAGTGAAGAAGGAAGGGAAGAACTTAACCAAGGAATGAGTCTTAGACCCAGAAAACTAAAAACATTGTTGAAAAAAAAATCAAAGACACAAATAAAGACACCCCATTAAGGGCTAGGGTTGTGGCTCAGTAGTAAAGCGCTCACCTCGCACATGCAAGACCCTGGGTTCAATCCTCAGCACCACATAAAAATAAACAAGTGAAATAAAGGTATTGTGTCCAACTACAGCTAAAAAATAAATATTAAAAAGGGACACCCCATTAATGGATTAGAAGAATTGATATTGTTAAAATGTCCATTCTACCCCAAGCAATCTATAGACTCAATGCAATCCCTACCAAAATCCCAAAGATATTTTTCATAGCAATAGGAAAAAAAAATCCTAAAATTAGTATAAAACCACAAAAGACCCCACATAGTGAAAGCAATCTTGAGCAAGAAAAACAAAGAACAAAGCTGGAAGCATCACATTTACTGATTTCAGAGTATACCACAAAACTACAAAAATCAAAAACAGTATAGTACAGGCATAAACACAGACATATAGAGCAACTGAGCAAAACAGAGAGCCCAGGAAACAAACCCACACACACAGTCAGCTGATTTTTAACAAGGGTGCCAAGAATACAAAAGGGAGAGAAGTTAGTCTCTTCAATAAGTGGTTCTGGGAAAACTGAATATCCACATCTCAAAGAACAAAACTGGACTCGTATCTTACACCATACACAAAAATTTTCTTAAAATGGGTTAGAGATTTGAACACAAGATCTGAAACCTACAATTCCTAGGGGGAAAAAAAAATAGGGAAACGCTCTTGACCTTGGATTTGATTATGATTACTTGGGTATGACATCAAAAGCACAGGCAAGAAAACAAACATAAGTGAGATTCTGTCATATTAAAAAACTTCTGCGCAGCAAGCTGGGCATGGTGATGCACACCTCTTATCCCAGCAACTCAGAAGGATGAGACAGGAGGATCACAAGTTCAAGGCCAGCCTGAGCAACTTAGCAAGACCCTGTCACAAAACAAAAAATAAAAAGGGCTGAACTCAGTGATAGAGTTCCCCCTGGTTCATTTTCAGTACTGAAAAAAAAGAAAGAAAGAAAGAAAAGAAAACACAGCTTTTACCCAGCAAAGGAAACAATCAACAGAGTACCTAAAAAATAGGAGAAAATCTTTACATCCCGTGTAAGAGATAAGGAGTTAATATCCAGAATACATAGAGAACTCCTAAAGCTCAATATCAAAAATAAATAACCAAATTTTAAAACAGACATTTCTCCAAAAAAGACCTACAAATGAACAATAGGTATATGAAAAAATGCTTAACATCAGGGAAATGAAAATTAAAACCAAGAGAAATCACTTCACATCTGTTAGAATTACTATCATTAACAAATGTTTGTGGGGTTCTTGGGAAGGCACAGCCCTTGTTCACTGCTGATGGAGATGTCCAATGGTGCAGCAGCTCTGGAAAGCAGTACAGAGGTTCCTCAAAAATTAAAACCATAACCGCCATATGATAACATAGCAATCTCACTTCTGGGTATAGATCTCTCCAGAAGAACTGAAAGTAGTATCTCAAAGACATAGCTGCATTCCGTGTTTACACCAGCATTATTCACAATAGCCAAGATATAAAAAGAACCCAAATGCCCACCAACTATGAATAATGAAAATGTGATATATACACACATTGGAACATTATTCGGCCCTAAAAAAGAAAATTCTACCACTGATGACAACATGAATGGACCTAGGAAACATTATGCTAGTGAAAAAAGTCACAGAGGGACAAATACTACACGATTCCTCTTATGAGGCACTAAAAATAGTAAACAATGGAGTGGTGGCTACCCAGAGATGAGAGGAGGGTGATATGGAGAGCTGCACAAAGGGACATTGAAACAAATGAGTAGGCTCTACACACCTGCTGTACAACAGGGCCTAAAGTCAACAACATGGTATTGTGCACCTAAAATTTAAACACTAACTTCATGGTTAGTGTTCTCAGTCCCCATCTTGCCCAAAAAAAGGGGTTGGCAGATGGACACAAGGAAACGTTTTAAAGTGGTAGATTACCTGGGTTGTGGTGATGATGCTAATACAAGTGTATACATGTGTCCAAACTCAACAAATTGTAGGCAATAATTTTCTGTGTTTTTGTACACAAATTAAACCTCAATAAGGCTTGGGGAGGGGAGGACAAGAAAGCTATGGCCCAAGTTTAAACAAAAAGCATTTGTAATCCCCTCCTAAATTCAACAGAAAATCAAAAGAAATCTAAAGCACATTAGTATAACTGTTCATCTCAAGTTTCTGGTCCTCCCAGAGCTGTTCTATTCCAGGGCCCCAGCCCCAGTCTACATCCCGCGGAGCACCACCTTCACAGGCCTGGCTTACCCCTGCCTTTTCTTCTGGAACTCCATTTCCATGTTAGTGAAGTGTAACTTTCTCCTTTCCTTTCCCAACAAAAGCCACGTGAAAGACGAAAACTTCACCAGCCACCTAACTAACGCTCATTCAGTCCCTGCTTCTGCTCCAAGAGATGCCCCACTGTGAAAGGTGGGTGATGGGCTCACCTTGGAGGTGAGACCCAACTTCTTTAAATATGATGACCTGCATCATGGACCAACAGGAAATCTCCCCAGGGTGTTGTAACTGTGGCCCCCACACAAGGCACGGGGGGGGGGGGGGGGGGGGGTGTCTCCTGTGAAATGTCAGCAACCTCTGAAACCCCTCACCAAGTGCGCTGACCCCTCAGAGCCTCTACAGAGTCACCTTTGTCCCTGCTGTGCTCCCACCCGCCACCCCAGCTGCAGCTAGAGGAGCACACCCCTTTTGGCAGAATGGCCAAATTCCATAAATGCCACTCTTTCTTCTCACCCCCCTCCAGAAGCTGAAGGAGTTCTACAATAGATAGAATATTTCATTCACACTGCTGAAGAACAATTTTTCCCATACAGAAACTGAGTGGGTAAATTCTCAACCACATGAGGGGCCTTATTCATGACAATCTCAAATGACAACTCTGTTATCTGTCTCATAATAGTTCACATATTTTTTGAATCACAAGTTCATCTATACCACAAATTTAACACTTCATTTCTTGACAGCATTTCTGACATCAGCCCTTTTCACTATCATGTATATAAACGATAAGCTTCTGCTAATATAAATTCACTAAAGAATAATTATCGCACAGCAAGTGCCAATACCATGTTGGCAACAGAATTTTATACCATTGTTGTCCAGGGGCATATAATCTGAACCCACTTGGAAACTCTGAGTGTTTGGTTCTTCTTTGGCTCCTCTACCCAGGAATCTATAAAGACTGCACAGAGCTGAGACAAGCTCTGGGAGTGAACTAGTTCTAACAAGATCAGAAACTGGTGGCTTCTGCAAATAGTACTTTCCCTTTGCTGGTTCTCAGAATTTAAAAGAGTCTTCTGAAAGACTCGGGGCTGCTTCAGTTAAGCTGAGGGGAACCAAGGAGATACTGTGCTCATGCTTKGGCTACTGCTTTCAAAGTGGAAGTGTGGCACAGGCAGCAACTGTGATAATCAACAGGGATGACAAAATGCAGGAAACCCAAGCTGAGCATTGGTCAGCTAACCTATCATCATCTGCAGGGTTCCGTCTTAGCAATAAAAACCCTAGCCCATGTCTGCTAAGGAAAGGACACAGCTCCTGCAGTTCAGGGCACTACCATCTAAGGAAGCAAGGAGACATGAGGCTGGAGATATAGCTCAGTGGTAGAATGCCTGACTTGCATGCATGAGGCCCTGGGTTTGATCCCCAGCACACCTCCCTCCTCCCCTCACCTCAAAAAAGAGCAAGGAGACAGGTTTGGAGTGCATGAGGAAGAGACTGAAGAAGTATAAACAAAAGGAGGAGCTAGGTGCTAATTAAACAAACAAAAACAGGTCCCTTTCTTAACATGCAGCAATTCATAACTTTACAACCAGGCATTTTTGTAGCATTGTGCTTCCTCTCAATTATAATTCAACCTCAAGACAATAACTAAACTATAGCTAGATGGTTGATGGCTTCAATAAACAAGAGTAAGTGACTTCCTAAAAGTAGGAAACCTGTGAGTCTGATTTCCACCAAGGTTCAGAGTCGGAATAGGCCAATGTGTGTAAGTGGAAAGAAGTTTCTCCGCACACAGCCCTGCAATCCCTGTGTCCAAGAAGCACCTTGGGCAAGCTTCCATGGCCATCAGCATAAAACCAGAGGTTTTCCTTTCCAGGTGGTAAAGTCAGAGCTATTAAAGAGCTCCTGTGCAGAGCTGCAAGGGGTTGAACAGGACTTCTGTTATGTAATCATTGCCAAGGCCAGGAACAACCATCTTGGTTACTACACAGTGGCTAAAGCATTCCTCCGACAGGCTGCGCTCTAGTAAGCTGGAAGGAAGCAAGTATATTTGAGAGAGGATCTTCCAACATTCAGTGAGAAAGGGAAGCAACGGAACTGAGCACTACAAGGGACAGAAGATGAAATAATCCAAGGTCAGTAAGCCTACACTAAAAAGAACCACTTTGCCCTCCTAATGCTGCTTGATTTTTCCAGTGACCTGCTATCAGAATTAAGGCTAATAATAGTTTTTTTTTTTTTTTACCTACTCTCTGCTGGTCTGAGTTTCAATGCTTTGTTAAAGCATTTACTAAGGATCAAACTCACAAATTCAGCCCCGCTGCCTATGCCTTGTTTATGTCCAATCTCTCTGGCTTGCAGGAATGCCCTTTTTGTGGGTGGTCAAGGACAAACGGCATTAAAGCCTATTGTTTGGCTTTTTATGTAAGAAGGCTTAATGTGTCAGCTGCATTTTAATCTAAGGATTATATGCTTAACTGTCAGAAAATACCTTTTAGAAACATCAATAAGGATTGTTTTTACTATTTGCTACCACAAGGCCCAATTATTATTTATAAATTTATTGGTACTTTAGCACCTGAAATAAAAACCTTCAGCTGAGAAAAAGAGGCAGCTGCTGCAGAGTTAACAAGAAAGCCAAGATCTCTGCTGAGACCATCTAAATATATATCAGGCCTTAAAATAAAAGAACACAAGCTAATGCTCACCACTGCAGGTATGTGTTTGATCAAATGCTGCTGCTACAAATCCTGACCTGGATTTTGTGTGTCTGCAGTTGGTCTATTTTGTTTGTTTTAGACTTTCATATTAACTGCAAGTCCCATGAACACACATTTAGTTCCTCTTCAAACCTCAACACAACAATTTTCTTTTTTTTTATACCTTTATTTTTTTATTTATTTTTATGTGGTGCTGAGGATTGAACCCAGTGCTTCACACATGCAAGGCAAGCGCTCTACCACTGAGCTACAACCCCAGCCCCCAGTTATTTCTTTTTAAAGGCATATAAGCCCACAAGGACAAAGATAACAGGAGCAGATATTAAAACGTTCACACACAGGATGGCAACTAATGACAGACTCAAACAAGCCAAATCTTCCAGCTTGTAAAGCCTCATTCTTCATCATGAACAGACACTTCAGGATCTTCAGACACAGAAAGAAAAATGTCTAGCATGAAAGACAGAAATAAGGGGTGGAAGCAACCTGACAGAAATTGAAACCATGCAGAAAAGAAAATTTCAAAAAGAAAAATATTAATCTGCTTAGAGAGCTAAGAAACCATACTGGCAAAATAAAAGCATTTGGCAAACAACAACAGAAAAGTGTCAGAAATTAAAAACATGGTATCAAACATGAAAAACTTAATAGAAGGATTGTTAGATAATCTAACTCCAAAAAATACCCTAATAAAGTAGCTTATAAGGAGAGATGGAAAACAAAAGGAAAGATGTATAGTCATGGGATAACTCAACACCTAACAGGAATTCCAGAAAATAAAGGGAGGGAATGAATAATGAAATACTGTACTTCCAGAAATTTTCTAAAAATTAAGGATGAGTTTTCAGATTGAAAATACCCATTTGGATCTCAGCACAAGAAATGAAAGTGTACCCTTACCAAGGAATATTATTGTGAAATTTTAGAACTGATGATAAAAAGAATTATGAACACCAGAAAAAGATAAGAAAAAGAAGACACCTACAAAGGACAGAGAATCAGTAGGCCTGGGCCTTCCTACTGTCAACATTAGATGGACAAATGGTAGAAAAATGTGCAGTGCCTTCATTATTCCACAGCTTGGTGATTTCCAACCTGGAATGACATTCTCAGGTAATATAACAACTAAAAAGTCTTACCTCCCATTTGTAATTTGTTAGGAAGTTTCAGAAGGTGTGCTCTGTCAAAGTAAGTGAATAAAATAAGAAAAATGAGAATATGGGATGAGGGAAAGATGGAAGCCAATACAATAGATTTCTTTTAGAACTCCTCAGCATGGTACCAAAAGGCAATTCCTGAGATGTGCCACGCAGCAAGCCTACAGAGCAAGGCTCTAGGTGAGAATTCTCCAAGATGAAATTGAAAACATCTATGTGTGTCAAGGCACTGAGAGGAAATCCACATGGAAGGCTGCTCGAGGTTCAATTAGTGATCCGTGCAAGGAAAACTTATGTTTTAAAAAACAAAATAATTATTAAATCCAAGGAGAACTAAATGTGTATACAGGACAGTTAAGATATATAGAACATCTGTGCATCCTATTTACACAGTAAGGTAAACACTAGATAAGAAATGGGCTAGTGAACAGCAGAAACAGATAACATTTTTCCTAAGCAGCCTTGTAGAACTGCATAACCTTTTTTAAAAATCTAAATTTTTAAAAGAAACGAATATTGCAATCCACACTTTTTTTTTATTTCAGTGCTTAGAAATCAAACCCAGAATCTCATTGTTATGCTTTAGAAATGAATGTCCCCCAAATGTTCCCGTTCATGCAGGAATAGTCAGAGGTGAGATGATAAGATTATGAGAGAGTTGTAACCTGATCACTCCATCCTAGTTACTTGGTGGTAACTGAAGGCAGGTGGGCATACATAGCAGGAGGAGATGGGTCACTGAGGGCGTGCACACGTTTCTCTCTTTCTCCCTCTCTCTCTCTCCCTCTACCAGGCAACCCCTCCCCTCTCTTCTCTCCTGACACTGTTATGAAATGAGTAGCCTTCCTCTGCAATGTCCTTCCACCATGATGCTCTGCTTTACCTTGGACCCAGAAAGTACAGTAAGCCATCTATGGATTGATACTTCCAAAATCATGAGCCTCAAATAAATTTTCCTCCTCTAAGTCCTCTAAATTGTCCTTGTCAGGTATTTTGGCCACAGTACTACAATGCTAACTAAAATCCTTATGCATGCTAGAAAAGAATCCTATCACTGAACTACATCCTTGGCCCTAAAATTGTTCTCTGCTACACAACCTGACAACTTAACAAAATACTTCCACATGTCCAGTCATTCAAACTCAGCACAACTCTACAAGTCATGTTATACACTTTACACAGAAGAGAAAACCATCTCAGGGAAGTTAAGCAACCTACCAACATGACATAGAAAAACAATGGGGCAGAGAAAGGACTAGAAAGAGCACAGCATGCACAAAGGTTAAGTCTGAGGCTTACAACGGCTGATATTAATACTGTGGGTAGGAATCTAGAGAGAAATGAGCTGAATCAAGTTTGGAGTTCAGTGGTTCTCAATCTTGAGAGTACATACAAATCACATGATCTTCTATTTAGAAGAGTTATCTAAAGTAAAAATGAAAACAAAGTAGAATGGTGGTCACCAGAGGTTAGGGGGAGGGAGGACAGAGGAGTTGTTCAATGAGTTTAGAGTTTCAGATTAACAAAATAAAAAAATTCTAAGATCTGCTTCACTATCCTGTGAATAGACTTAGGACTACTAATGGTAAACTTTAAGTTGTTTTTCAGTTCCACCCCCAGTTTCAACTTGGGCCATCTGGATAGAGCCTAAGAATTTTCTCTTGTTAACAAGTTTCCAATTGATACAATGCTACCATTCCAGGGACCAAATTTTCAAAACCATGGCTGTCCAAAGGTTCTAAATCCTGAATGCACAGGAACTTTACCTGAGACCCTAGATCAAGTAAAAAACGTACAGGGTGGGGATTGGGGCATATGAATGGATGTGGAATGCTTTTAAATACCTAGGGTGATTCTAGTGTTCAGCCAGTCTGAGCTCTGCCCAGTTGGCAGTACAGGGCATGTCACTGCTAAGACCTGTCACTACTTAGCCACATTCTGGCCGTGCCTCCATTTCCTCATCTGTAGAATAAGGACCACAGAGTTATTGAGAATATTAGATAGGATAACCAACAAAAAAAACATAAGTTGGTGTCCATCACATAAGTAATAGTAACTTCATTACTCTTGTTGCTGACATGACAGAAAATAAGGTTGACCCTGTTTTCTCCACCATAAAATGGGGTCAGGTTAAAGGCAATGAAGAAACTATTTATGTTCAATCACAGATTACTTAGCAAGGCAAAAGGCTCCAGAAGGGCTAAGAACAAAGTAAGCAGAATTAAATTTAAGAATCTATTATGATTCCCACCTGCATTTGGCAAATTTAGGGTCTTACTACAGAATTAGAAGCTAATCCTTTCACTCTCTGAGTGTTATTTGGAATGTAAATATCATTATAAAACCAGCTGCTACAATCAATACTCAAACACTGCCACCTTCATCTAAAGAGTGAATAAAAACAATGTGGTGTGTTCAGCAAAAGTTAGCTGAAATTCTCAGACATCCACGTGGTAAACAAGTCTTTGTCAAAAGGAACTGAAAAGGAAGGAAAAGACATAGTTCAGATAGGTTTATTCATTCAAGAAATATCTGAGCAGCTCCCACAGCCCGAGCACAGTCACACTGGAGAAGAAAACTGCATCTGCAGGGCAGTTTGTCAGGCCATGCAGCGGGTGGGTCTGGACAAGAAGCAAGCTTTGTGAATACTGAATAGCCCCATTTTTCCTCAAAAGTACAGTAGGGAGAGCCAAATTTGTGTTTTCTGCTAAATTTTTCCTTGCTTTATAGCTGCATATTTCTGAGGTGCATCATGGATTACTCACACTGATACTTCGAGCCACCAATATCTTAAGTCCACAGTAAATACAAAGAAATTATTGTCATAGTCCTCAGAAAGCAACATGACCCTCCCTAGACGTCTGGGTCATATCAACATCTGAGTCCCAAGCCTCCTTCATTAAGCTTTTTTGTTTCGTTTGGGGGGGGGGAGCGGGGGTTGGGGGGAGGGTACCAGGAATTCAACTCAGAAGAGTTCTACCACTGAGCTACTCCCCAAGCCTGAGACAGAGTCTCACTAAGTTATCCAACTGAAACTAAAACTTGTGATTCTCCTGCCTTAGCCTCCCAAGTCAGTGGGATTCCAGGAGTGCAGCATCATCTCCAGTAGGAAAATACTCTTAAAAAGGATGGTAGTATCTACTTCTAGACAGAACTGGCTAAAGGCCTTGGAAACAGAATTGCACAACAATACAAACTTCTGAGTCAGTGATTACATCCTCTCACCACACTGACAGGTTCAAATCACCTCCCACCACAAAAATCTTTGTGTTTTTTAAAGCTCGGAATACTGAATGTGATTAAACCAGCAAACACTTCCCAAGTGAGTAAGTGCCAATCAAGATATGCCTGAATGTCCCACCCAGGCATATTTCCACCAGGGTGGAACAATGGCAGTGTGAATTTTGGCCTAATAATGTTCCCCTAAATATACCAGGGGGCATTCTTCACATTGGAAGCCAAAGATCAACTTACTGATAGAATGTAGGTGTGTTCAGGTACTTTTATGAAGCAGGTCTACTTTCTGTGGGTCTTTTCATCTCTGGTTCCTTGACATTATTAACCCATATGCCCTACTGTCATAACACAGAGGGGTTGGGGCAGAAGTCAGGACCTAACAGTGTTGACCCTTACAGCCCACATGACCCAGCTGTCAATGCAGAGGTCAGTACACTCACTCCTCTGCTGGCAAAGCTGTTTTAAAGGTCAAACACAATGACAAGGGAGAGTAAGATTAGTATGTATGAGGCGCCATCTGAAGTGCCCCACAAATATCCATTAAGTTGATCTTTCCCAGAACCTATAAGATAAATGTGTTTATCCCCATAGCACAGTTGAGG